TTTTTTTTTTTTTTTGGTTTTTTTTTTTTAACATTTAATTAAAATGTGACATACACAGAGATCTTCAATGTATGGCTCTGTGGATTTTCACAAACTGAACACCCATGCAGCCAGCACCAGATCAAGAAGCAGAACATGACCAGACTTCCAGAGGCCCTTGATTCCCTGCCGGGGACAGCCACTGGCCTGGCTTCTAACGCTCACGGTGGTTTGATGCATCTCGGCGCCCCTTAAACTTCCTGACGTTTGTATCCGTACCCTGGGACACTCCACTCACCCTCTGTTATTTGGCCTTTTCCCCGACCTCTGTCTGTCTCAGTCTGCATTCCAAATGCCACACCCCTGCCAAGCTGTTGGGTCACCTCGCAGCAGTTGCTTTCCCTCTCTGGACTCCCTTTTGCAAAATGGTGCTGGGCCATTGGGCTGAAGGATTAGGGATCATCCTTTCAGCCCGGTGTCCCCTCTGGGCCTGAGTGTGTGATTCTTCAAGGCATACCTCCTCCTACCCCCACACGTCCTTTACCAACAGCCCAATCAGGCAAGTCCACCGTGGTCTGGCTTTCTGTCTAGGAGAGGAGGAAGGCCAGGACTGTGTCGGTCTGTCCTATGAGTTTGATGCGAGAGGCATCCACATCCCACACCGAGATGAAGGAGGGGCTCAGTGGACTTCTGGGGTGGAGGCTGAACGGTGGCAGCATCTGGGCCACATCTGGCCCTCATATGTGCTTTGCTGGTCTTGCCAGCGATTTTGGTTTGTTTTTAGGTTTTTTTTTTTTTTTTTTTTTTTTGGCTTTGCTTTAGATTTTATCTATCTATCTATCTATCTATCTATCTATCTATCTATCTATCTATTTTTATTTTAGAGAGAGAGCACAAGCAGGGGGGAGGGGCACAGAGAGAGAGAGAGAGAGAATCCCAAGCAGGCTCTGCACAACAGCAGAGTACCGATGGGATCATGACCTGAGCCGAAATCGGGAGTCAGACGCTCAACCCCCTGAGCCACTCAGGCGCCCTGTGTTTTTGTTCTCGATTTTAAAATGAGTGATTGGTGGGAGCAGAGCGGGAGCTGGGCAAGCTTCTCCTTCGGGAGGGCTGCACACCCTGCCAGCGTACCCCAACCTCATCTGCCCGGGTCACCCATTTGCACTGTCTGCCTGTTTCCACACTCGTTTGAATTCCAGACCCATGTTCTAAGGTGGTGATTTTTTTTTTTAATAACCTGAGACCCTTTCTTC